GGGCCATCCTACCCACCCAGAGAGAGTAAAGCCAGTTATGTTCTGTTGGACTTCTGCTCACCTGACGATCCTGACGATCGAGCCGGTGCTTCCCAGTTTAGTGTGGGACAATACGTCCACCTCTCCGCTAAGCTGGACACTTTCTCGGGTCATGCTGGCACATCAACAAGCTCAGATCTTGAAGGCCCGCAGAATCAGCACCACGGACAGCTCCTGTGTTAGCAGCCAATGAGGCCTGAGCCAGGAGAGCAGAGGGAGATAACATTAGCCGCCACTGCATTGCGGTGATGGCTATCTCCACTTGTCTTCGCCGGCTCTCTGCCATGGAGGCCTGTTGTGTGGCCAAGGTGAGAGAGTGTGAGTGTGGTTAGTTGCTGCACACATTCTCAACTCCATACAGCCTGAGTCACCTTCTCCGCTCTGCTTGTATCTCTCCCTGCTGGAGCAGGACATTACATTCCATCTTTCCGCTGTTAAGAGTAAAAACAACCGTCTAAAAGCCACAGTGGGTTTTTTAAAGGTCACTTACATTAACTCAATAGTCCATATTAAATTACTCCCCTTTAGATGCCTGTAAACCTCAAATCAACTTGTGCAACCACAAGTTAGCTAATATATTGTAGCTGTAACATCAAAACCTCTTTTCTCCAGCTGCCCTTTACATTGTGAGAACATTTTATGATGAGTCATTCAGTAGAAATGGACAAAAAGGATTCAATAAGGAATTCTGAAGCTTGGTTGTTTTGAATGATGATATGAAGGGTTTTATTTGAATTCTATGCAAGCAGTTAAAATGTGGCTCTTCAGTTCTAGAGAAATTGTCTTAATCTATTGGCAGATTGTTTTGCTTGTTTCAGTCAAGACACAGTGCAGATAACTGTCAAGAAATAATAATTAAAACAGGCTAAATGATCTGCCAATAACAGAAGACATATTAGACCATTTCACTAGAGAAAATGACCTCATTCAAGTAAAAAACATATAGAAATAAGTCGAATATTCTTAAAACACTGCCACATTGAGAACATTGGCTAGATTTATGCTGATTTTACTTGCATTTTCTGCAGTGCAAAACAGACTAAAATGGTGGTGTTTCTGCTCAGGCAGTGAACTGAACTCTCCTGTGTGTAGGGCTGTGGTGTTTAACTGTTATGAATGAGTGAGTAATAACTATCTTTAAGCAGGTGGTCTCTCTTTAAGCAGGTGGTCACATTAAAAAACGTTCCATACGCAATACGTTCAGCTGTTCACAAGCAGAAAACATGTCCAAACATTTCATTTAATTGCAATGTAATTAACCATAACCATCTACCTTGCTGTCTAACCTGGATGCAGTGGGTCATTAGCATTGCCATTAGCTTAGAAATTTACAGTCAACAGTGAGCAGTTGAGCCAGAAAAAGTGGATATGATCGGCTGTGGGATCTTCTTACATTCTTGTCTCTAGCACCCATTTTCTGCTTGACAAAGACAGAACCACAATCATTTTCTTATGTTTTTGTGTGATAACTGTGGAAAGAGTTACACTAATGCTAGCTTGGTTGTATTTATTATCTTATAGATCGGTGGCTTGGCTAAAAGTCATGATTGGTTGACACCACAGGGATTCCCAGTGGTTGTATGATTATTTGCATTATGCATGCTGAGTATTATACTAAGAGAACAGTGATAAACAAAAACATGAAAACAATACAAAGTCATGAATTCTGTCAAACCCATGAGGCTGAGGGATACAATGCTGTGCTATGACAACTAACATATTAAACTCTAGTTTTAGACCAAAATGCCGCTTTAACGAGAAATGTGCATCCGTAAAATGTGCATCCGTAACAGGCAGGAGCTGACTGAAATAATCTATCTCAGCCAAATACTTGGCTCAGGTAAACTACACCAATCAGCCATAACATTAAAACCACCTTGTTTTACAGAATGATCCACCACCCTAATAATACCTGCTCTGTGGTGGTCCTCTGGGGGTCCTGATTATTGAAGAACAGGGTAACAAAGTATGCAGATAAACAGATGGACTACAGTCTGTAATTGTAGAACTACAAAGTGCTCCTGTTATGGTCAGTGGAGCTGATAAAGTGGACAACGAGTGTAAAAACAAGGAGGTAGTTTAATGTCATGGCTGATCGCTTTGCATCAGCCAAGTAACACGTTACTGTCAAGTCTCTAGGCACTAAATGCTAATTAGCTTTGGCCGAGCCTACTTGATAACATAGCCCACTGTCTTAAATAAAGATATTTCAGAGTGCAAGCTAAGCTATGTCTACATTACAATTGTCCTGCTGTCTCCTGAACCCTGAGATGAGTAAAATGGCCTGTCTGCAGTGCCAGGCTGACAAATGTAGCCGATTCAGAAGCAGTGAGATTATCAATAAAGCGCTGGGCCGACGAGGTAGACTCTGTTAAAGACGGTGACAGTACATCAATGGTGGCGCCGGCGGCCGGCTGACTGCTCGCCTGCTGCCGCGGTGACTCATCGCTGGGCTCACACCCCAAATCACACAATCAGCGGGCGACTGAGCCGCGCAATCACACACATATTTCAGAGTTCAGTAAACAGGCCAGACCGAACTCGAAATTGAGGCTATGTTCATTGAGTTAAAAGATACATTAAACTTAACTCTTAAATGTAAAAGTGCTAAAAAGGGTTCTTTGGAGCGAAGCCAGCAGATGGTTTCAATAGATGCTTCTTTAAAGAACCATTTTTGGAAAAGAGGCCCTGTTCACATCTGGTATTAGCATGAGTCTTGGGTGGTCTGATAAGAAGTGGACAGTGCCAAGAACAGTCCAGAGTGTCTCAGAGACACACTGTGATCCAAACCACCTTCAAAATTGGTCAGGAACGGATATGAACACATACTATTTGGGTGCATTCCCAATTCATGCAGTCTAAAACAGCCTGTAGGTGTGTAGATACTAGGACTATTTTTAGATGTACACTGAGTACTTCGTAAGTACACTGACAACAGTTTGTCAAACATTAGTTCATTTCCATTTGGTTCTTTTTGAAAACTTAAAAGCTTATATGTCTTGCTGTCCACTTGTGAAAAGACCACTCAGTTAATGCTAACACTACGTAAATTGGCCTGAGATGTATAAATGTGAAGAACCTTTTTAAAGTTTAACCCTTTGTAGATCACTGTACCGGTACAGGCACACTTCAGTTGAAATGTTCACTTCAGGTTTTTATACATCATTTTTATGCATCAAGTCGTCCAGCAATACAGAAATGTCAGGATTTGATTCCTGCAAAACATTTAATGACCCATTATTCACAGCAGTAATGATCGTCTCATTTGCAGCATAAGCACTGAATGAGCAAATGCTAACAAATCTGTGGTTCCTTACCTTAAAAGCCTTGCGGCTCTCCACAAAGACTTCATAATCCAAATGTGGTCTTGATAACATGGCAAGAGTCAGATCAATTTAGAGATCTGTGAATCAGGTGGGAATGAACTCCACCATTCTAGCCTCTGTTACTCTGTCAGTAGTTCGTACAAATATACCTTATTGTTGGGAAAAAAAGTGTGTTACCCTTCAAATGAGCCCAAGATAATGACTGTAGCCCAACGTATGTGGGAACTGTGCTGCTTTTACTTTGGGTCGGCTGTTTCAGGCAGAAATGAGGTGACAGTTAAAAGGTTAAAGAATCTACTCATAATGTAAAGTTTGTATGCCACCTGACGGTTTTTGCTATAACCGTACATCCACCCAAGAACCATATTTTTTATGATTGCCCAGCCTGTTACTTGGTTGCAACAGTTATTGTATTAAGTATCAATTAACTAATTTTATACCATCTTTTGTGTCTTTGCATAAGGCTGGATACCCTCCCTGACACCCCCACCCCACCGTAGTTTGAGCTACACTGGGGTATCAGTATTGGACCAATTTTGCTCAGAGAAAATCAGAAATCAGATTTGCCATGAGTCCACTTATAGCCAGCAGAAGCAGGAGCTTTGCCCAGAGTAAATAAAATGCTGAACAAGGGGAACGATGTCGAACGCTATACCCTTGACATTTGAATCATGTCAGATTCCATAATGCTGTATCAAAGTACAGATAACATTGTTGGTATTGATTCTTTATGAAGTGGACCTGAAGTTTAACTGTGATAATGCAATTTTGTTCTAACCACTACTATGTTACTGTGTAATCATGCATCATAGTTTCCTCCATGTTAAAGCAGTGGTTTATTCAAAGATCAAATGTACTAAAGTTGTTCCTCTGCCTTCAATGTATTTAGTCAGCCAAGACATGTTTGGTAGCCAAAGTTCTTTAGTTTTGTTTTTGGGTTAATGTTAATGTAGCTGACATGTTCTATTTTTATGTAGTTTATGTAGCTTGGTGGCAGTAGGCTTCCATTACATGCTACATTAGCCTTGTATCTCACTTCAACCCTTCATTTATGACATGTAAGTACAAGTTATTCATTTTTGTATTTCAAAGATTAGATATAAGATAATCCACCTGCGTAAGGAAGGGGAAAGTCAAAGGAAAATAGATAGACCACCAGAACTTTCCCCATCATCTAAACAGCTTTCATCTTTGAGAAAGACGAGAAAGCTGTCAAGGAGCCCAGAGTAAGAAAAGGAAGTAGACAAAAAGAACATTTGTAAATCAAGCAAAGAAGCTGCTGGTGTTCTCAGAACAATGGACTGACCACCCCAGAGTCCAGATCTCAGCATCACTGAATGTGTTTGTGATTACTTGGATTGTGAGAAGCAGAAAATGCAACCAACGTCTAAGACTGAACTTTGGAATCTCCTGAAAAGAATGGTAGCTGTAATAAAGGCAATGTGTTAACACACTAAATACTGAAATATTTATATTATATATAGTTATTGAGGCTCCTGTGTAAGTCTATGCTCTTTTGAATAACTTGGACTTAACATTTTGACTGAATTTTATATAATCATTTTGCACAGTACTGTACAGATTGCTGGACATTAATTTGATATATTTGTGTCCCTTTCTCTCTCTCCCTCTCAGGTCTCATTGTATACCTGGGTATGATGGTGGGAGCATTTGTGTGGGGGGGTCTAGCTGATCGAATCGGACGCAGGCAGACTCTGCTCATCTCTCTGTCCATCAACAGCGTCTTTGCTTTCTTCTCCTCCTTCGTCCAAGGATACAGCTCCTTCCTGTTCTGCCGTCTGCTCTCCGGTGTTGGGTAAAAAATACTCTCAAACAAATCTACTCTTATCTTCCAAACACTGTACAGCAGCAAACGCCAGGCTCAAAACCATATTATCGATGTCCAAAAATCTGTGTTGAGTCAAAGTAAAATATAATATACTGGAAGTCATTTAGCTGTTTTTGTATAATGTCATATGACAGCGAAGGGACAAGACTTCGAGAAAATCGGATAGTCTAGCCCAATTGCTTTGAGCTAATACTATCCTGTTGCTGATATAAGATTGCAAAGGTTAGCGCAGCCTATGGAGATGCAAAGGTGCAGTTTTGGTTCACTGCCTTTATTTTCAGAGGCTTTGGGGGGGTGCAGATATATTTTAGTGATATAGTTAGTGATTAAAATATAGAGGCTACCATCTAGGGGGCCTGAATATAAAGAATGGTCTTTAGCAAAAATTACTGCTACTAATATTACCTTCAAATATGTGTATTAGGAACAGCAACGAAATATCATCTTATTTACATTAGCTAATGCTTTCTCTCCCTCTCTTCCTCTCTCCTTCCTGGCTTCAGGATTGGGGGTTCTATCCCCATAGTCTTCTCGTACTACTCTGAGTTTTTGGCTCAGGAGAAGCGTGGCGAGCACTTGAGCTGGCTCTGTATGTTCTGGATGATTGGGGGAATCTACGCTTCAGCCATGGCCTGGGCCATCATCCCCCACTATGGTAATAATCCCACCCTCACCATTAAGATCATTATACTCTATGGATAACGGTCTCGTCTTCACCATCATTTTTTGTCTATGGTAACCATCCTACCCTGACCACTGCCATCATCATTGTCTACAACACCAATTCCACCCAAACCATCTTTGTCTGTGGTAACAGTCCCACCCAGTTCCATCCTCACTAATATCATCATCATCATCTGTTTTAATAGCCCCACCCCAACAGTTCCACCAATTTATCCACTAATTACACACAGTGAGAGGCAGATGACGTTTTTCTCAACCCCTCTTCATAGCCTCATAACTCTAGATCTGACTCACATGCAATCTTGCAATAGGAAGCCACTTTACAGATTCAGGGCATGTTTGAGCCGTATTTCTGCACTGTATTATCTCAAAGATAGAGAAAGATAAATTTCACTTGTGGGTAAGTCTGTGGACCTCAGAGGGTTAATCATTATGTATGGTAACAATCCCACCCTCACTGTTAACATCATCATCATCTGTATGACAATCCCACCCTCACAATTACCATCATCATCTATGGAAACAATCCCACCCTCACAAATATCATCATCATCTATGGAAACAATCCCAGCCTCACAAATATCATCATCATCTATGGAAACAATCCCAGCCTCACAATTACCATCATCGTCTATGGAAACAATCCCAGCCTCACAATTACCATTGTGATCTATGGAAACAATCCCACCCTCACAATTACCATTGTCAGCTAAGGAAACAATCCTAGCCTCACAATTACTATCGTTATGTCAGGAAACAATCCCACCCTCACAAATATCATCATGATCTACAGAAACAATCCCAGCCTAACTATTACCATCATCATCATCTATCATAACAATCCCAGCCTTACTATTACCATCATCATCTATGGAAACAATCACATCCTATTGCCATCATCATCATCATCATCATCATCATCTGTTGTTATAATCCAGCCTTACTATTAACATCATCATCTATGGTAACAATCCCACCCTCACTATCACTAGTAACATCATCATGATCTATCACAACAGTCCCACCCTCACCTCATTACTGTGAATAGGAACAGTCTTTACAACACCAACCCGTTCAGTGTTGCCATGAATCAGTATTCTATGTTATATGCTATGAAAATATTGTTTGCTAATGATATTTGTTCATTACATTGGAGATTTTTATTTACATTTCATTCAAAAGCAAAATAATATAATAAATGCATGCAAGGTCTGGTTTTTTTACTTAGTTTACATTAACTGAATTGAGCCTCTCATCACATTCTGAGAATTTGGTGATGACCCCTTAAACCCGTTTAAATTTGCCACCAGAGGAGTTGCAGTTTGTACACGTCCCTACTGTGTGTAGTAAAACGCATCAGATCATAGAGTCTAAGCTTTCTGTGTGCCACTGTGTTTTCTATCACTGTGTGAAAGGTGCATGAGACCTCCTTTATTGTTGAGTATACTGTGATCTGATGCTACTGATGTGTGATTTATATTCCTGTTCATGTTTATTGTTGAAACAGGAAGTTTGTGACACAAATTAAAGTCTACACATTTTTCAGTTCATTAAATTGTATTCTTAAGACAGCAAATAAACCCAACGTCATGTTATTAACAGAAAAAGGCTTAAAGAGTTAAAGATTTAGATAATATTGAACAGAATATTTGAAAACATTCTATAGTTGTGACTGTAATACTAACAATCCCACCTTCACCATTATCAGTAAAAGCTCTCCCCTCACCATTATCATTATCATCCCCCACTGCAACAGTATTCCCAATGTGTGTACTCCTCGGCAGACTGGGAGTTAATGCTGTGAAATAGGATTCCCTGTTATGTAATTTAGCATCCCCAAGAAAGGTTCAAACAAATTATTTGGAGGCGCTTTCTGGCATTGCTGGAGCTTAATACAGTAACAGTGTGTTGGAAAATAACACCATGAAGGTAGAAAGTCAACTTCAAAGCAAATGAAAAAGTGTTTGGATGAGCTGGATGTTAATTGGTTGCCTTGTTTAAGCTCTAAAGCTTTCTTTGTGTCTCCAACCAGGCTGGAGCTTCCAGATGGGTTCAGCCTACCAGTTCCACAGCTGGAGGGTGTTCGTGCTGGTGTGTGCATTCCCCTCGGTGGCTGCCATTGCAGCACTCAACACCATGCCAGAGAGCCCACGCTTCTTCCTGGAGGTCAGTGACTCAGCAGCACACGTCTACAGATGACAGATCACATTCATCTTAAAGCAATGATTCAGCCAAAAATCTAATTTACACAGTTTCCCTTCTTCCCAAATGCAGTCGATCAGCCAAGAACATGGCTAATGTCTCAAGTTTGCCTCTTTAGTTTTGCACTGGAGCTAAGAGGCTAACGTAGCTAACAAGTATGAAAGCTTACACCCCACCAATTAGCACTGTACAAACTGCATGCATTAAGTTGTTAAGTAATCTCAAATAGACTTGCTTATGTGGTTTCTGATACTGTATAACACTATTATCCAAACAAGGACATACAGCATCACTGACGGGAAGCAGCACTCCTAAGAAGTAACACAAGCTACTTGAGTGGTAATAGCGCTCCATTGTGTAAGTGTAAGAGTAAGTGATGGACCTACAAAAATGGTGTGGCTGCCATGGGCCAGCGCTTAGGGGGTGTGGCCATACACAGTGGCTCAAAAGATGCACCACACTCCAGGTTAAAAAGGACACTCATTGTTGCTGTTGCTGCTTACTAGTGGTTAGATTTGTTTACCCTCCTAGTATGCCGTGTCCACACACTTTACCCCCCCTTCCTATGTGTTGTGTTGGAGCAGCACTGGGCTGGGCATTTCTTGCTACTTGTCGAAGTGACAAAAATAAAATGACCCATATGTGTCATATTGTCTGCGTCTTTATCTGAGCTAGAATAGGTTTGGTTTGGCATCTAAAAATATTAATATACCACAATGTATACTGTTTTTGAGTTTTTAATTACACCATGATTTACATTGGTGGCCATACCATACCATACTTTTTTCTGCGGCTAAATATTTACACATGACAGGTAGATTTGTTTTGCAACACTGTGGCTGGTTACATAACATTACATTAAAATCAGCTTAGGCTGATGGTTGTAATTTAGCTATAACTACTGTAGCTATTATTCTAATTTAGGCAGAAAGTAAGTTAAATCTGCCTTTGTGGATTGGTAGATACAGTGTGTCAGAAACAAGAAATGAAAGAAATTATCAAAAGAATCCACCAAGAGCCAGAATTAACAGAATTCACTTTTTCAGCACTTTACTTGCAATAACTTCACTCACGTTCAGGAGAAACAATAATGCTGCCACAACAAGAGTTCCATGTACTTTTCCTGTAAAATATAAGTTTATTTGATTTAATTAAACATTGAAATATTATTAAACACTAAACTACTATTACTACCACTACTACTACTACTAATCATGATAATAATAATAATAATTAATTATTATTATTATTATTATTATTATAAACAAACAAATATTAGTAGTCATAATAGTAGTAATTGTGTTTTGTGGTGACAGAAGAATTGTTAAAAACCCTGACTAAGACACATTTAAATTAATATATATGTTATGCAGTTGGAAAAAGAGAAATGGAAAAAAATATGGGACGCTTTGTTCCCTGTCTAGTGGCCCCTCAAGTAATCTGAGTTTGAGATGGCTGTCAAACAGTATTATAAACAACATAAGCAAGTCTAAGATTACCAGCAGTTTAACACGGTTTGAAACAAGTAAGTAATGATTTAGGCAGTTTGCATTTTGTTAAACTGATGACTTCTATGACTTGTTCTGTACATTAGCCCAGCGCAAAACTAAAGAAGCAAATTTTAGACACCAAACAAATCTTAGCTAAATAACTACATTTTGGAGTGCAGTGGAAAGAAAATTAGATATTTTGTCTGGGTAAAACAGTGTAGACCAGTGTTCCTCAAATAAGACAATTCTCAATCCAGCACGTTCCGTTTTGAAGCTACCTGAATGATGACCTGAAAACCTGTGTGATGTGCCAAAACCTGGAAATTTGCATTTTCTGTCTTGTCATGTGACAGACAATTAGGGCAAATATGAAATTAAAATGATCATTGATCCACTCTAACCGACTGTCTGCTTTTAACAGAACGGAAAACATGATGAAGCCTGGATGATCCTGAAACAAGTCCATGACACCAACATGAGGGCCAAGGGCTACCCTGAGAGGGTCTTCTCTGTAAGTACCAGCGACTCTTACAAGTGCTCAGAAAAATGGCAGAAACTTGGGAATTTGAATCGCTCCAATTAAAAAATGAATTATTCAGTCATGCTAATGAGCTTCCATTTATCTGTTACGGCAGTGGCGGAGATCAAAGTGTCACATGTTCATGTGATACTTCTGAGTCTTAGAATTAGTCATGTGAAATATGCAAACTTCTGTTTGATCTGAAAATTGCTGTGTGTTTCCTTGGATACTGTTATTTTGTGGTTAACACGGATGTGGTGCAGGCTGGGAGGGGGAGTGCGCTAAACAGTGTTTTTTTCGTGAGGTGTTCTGTGTTAAAGTCAGAAAACTGTCAGAACTGTGTGACAGTGATGAACACCTTTTGTTCACTACCCATAAATGAATAACTGGATGTGCAGATAGAAAGAGACACTCTGGCCAAAATGAAAAATGTAACTGCAGCTGTCGTTTGATGACGTATCTTCGAAAACCTACATCTGAAAATCTATATCTGGGAGGATATTTGGGGACGGGCTGTTTTCAGTGTGTTTTTTTGTTAGCTGGTAAACACAGAAGGAAGCCAGAGAGCTGATGTTACTGCTAGGAAGCCAAATATCTTATTGCTGCTGTATCACTATAGTTAAAGTCTCAGAGCAGCATTACAATGTAATAAAGGATTATTCAAATGATAAAATGACTCAAGCAAAAAGCTAACATGGTAGCTACCTGGCTATCTACATACCGCACCTCAGTCTGGCTTCTTTTCTCCAGCTGAAGGGGTAAAAATAAAGATAGAATCACAAGACAGAATACGTACATCTTTATTTTGTGAAACGACTGCAGAAAGAGTTAAACTAATCTTAGCTTCATTGCATTTATTAGCCTGTAGATTGGTGGCTAGGCTAGCAGTCAGGATTAGTTGACACCACAGGGATTCCCAAAGGTGGTATGATGTCTTTGTGTAATGCATGCTGGGTATTGTAGTGCGAGGACAGCGAAGAACATGGAAAAACTTAATGGTCTTTTATATTCAGAACTAAGAAAACATTCTGAAGTTGAGAACATTTGCCAAAGTTCTCTTCAGTTGGCAGACCCAATATTTTATAACAGACTTCTATAACCTAAGAATAACTCAGCCAGTTCGCATTGAAGTCCCTGTAGTTAGTAAATAATAAGTCTTAGTATGTAATAACTTAAGGGGTTAAGAAGGAATTTGTTTATACGATAAAATGGTAAAAGGTATTTACTGGTTTCTGATCATTGTGAAAGACTTCTCGGTGATGTATGTCAAACCAGTTATGTAAATGCATCAACTGAAAATGTCTTAAGAAGAAAAGCTTAAGACCTAAGTCAACAGCCTACTATTAATACTGATCAATAGACGAAGAGGAACAGTTTAACGTATAGCAGTGATACATGAGCTGTATACTGTTGAATCCCTAGGTGACCACTATCAAGACAGTGAAGCAGATGGACGAGTTGGTGGACATGGGAGGTGAGGCCACAGCCTGGCACCAGCGCTGGAGAATCAAGCTCACCAATCTCTTTCATCAGGTACTTCAGTTAGACATCAGATCTATAAATGATTAGACTCATTCTCAGCCAACAAGCCACCAGTCAGTAGGACTGATGCCATGATGCCACGTCAGTGGAGAATACAGTGACGAAAACATGTAATTGCTGCTCAGCTGACAGACTAATAAATAGTCTGTTAGCTGACTGAATTACACTGCCTGGTTGCTTAAAGTAACAGTTTGGTAAAAAGGCATTTTCCTCTCACTCGAAATGTAGTCAGTCAGCCAAGACATGTTTGGTGTCTAAAGTTTACTTCTTTAGTTGTTGCCACTAAAGAAGCTTGGACTGCACTAATTAGCATCGTACCAACTGCATGAATGCATGATGATGCTTGCCTCAAACTGCATCGAGTTGTGAAGTAATCTCAAATAGACTTGCAGGTATTGTAACACTTACATTATAGAAATATAAAGGAACGACAGATATTTATCGGAATTTATAGGAAAGACCAAAAGGTTTTGAGATGGTTGCTACTGCTGTGCAAAAACATTATCCATTTCATCCAAACGTCTTTCTGACTGATTATAGGGAAAAATTGATTTTTATAAAAAGAATTTCTGTAACAGTAACAAACCTCCAGTAGAGCATTGTCTTGTCTGTGTTAACGTCCTGTCACTGAACTCTCGCAGGTGTGGGGCAACTTCCTGACTGTTTTCAATCCTGAGTACCGCCGCGTCACCTACATGCTGATGGCTGTGTGGTTCTCCATGTCTTTCAGGTAGAGGACGTGTCCTTCAGTTGTTAACCTCATCCTTAAGTGTTCAGCTCCTCAGAATGCTAATACCTCTAACAGTGCTTTACAGCTGTAATGACACAAATGAAATTGTGCTTGTTGGTGTTTCTTTTGCATTGCTAACTTTTTTCACTGTTAGCCTAGTTAGAAGGCCTGTCAACCTCAGTTCACTCAAAACCAGGCAGCTTAATAATATGACACATGGCAGAAGAGGCGCAATTCCAGTATCCATATTTCACTCTCTAATTAGAGGATTCAAACAGTAGCACTGCAGTCAAAATGAAAAATTGAAACTTTGTTATGTTTCTTGCATACAATTCTACTTGCATCCTACAGCAGTGTGTCAGTCTCTAGAGTGAGATGTTCCATTTTAAAGACTAGGAAAACCATGTTCTGATGACCTTGATGGTGGGAGGAACCTTCGAAGAACTGCAGCTGCTCTGGGGTGGATTTCTTTTTGTTAGCTGGTGCAAAAGGAAGCTAACATTACTGCTGGATAGCCGTAATATCAAAAATATCTAATTGCAGCTGTATCACTGTAGTAAATGTTTTTAAATCATCATTACATTAGAGATAATGGAAAACTCAAATGCCAAATATCGTATTGCTGCTGTATCACTGTAGTTAATGTCTTTAAATCAGCATTACAATGGAAATAATGGATTCATCAAATGATGAAATGACTCAAGCAAACAGCTAGCATGGTAGCTACCTGGCTATCTACATACCGCACCTCAGTCTGGCTTCTTTTCTCCGGCTGAAGAGGTAAAAAAAAACTTCCCTCTGGCAAAGTTTTGTGCTAAATAAAGATAGAATCACAAGACAGAATACGTACGTCTTTATTTTGTGAAACGACTGCAGAAAGAGTTAAACTAAAGTTAGCTTAGTTGTATTTATTAGCCTGTAGATTGGTGGCTAGGCTAGCAGTCAGGATTAGTTGACACCACAGGAATTCCCAAAGGTGGTATGATGTTTTTGTGTAATGCATGCTGGGTATTGTAGTGTGAAGACAGCGAAGAACATGGAAACACTTAATGGTCTTTTATATTCAGAACTAAGAAAACATTCTGAAGTTGAGAACATTTGCCAAAGTTCTCTTCAGTGGGAGGAACCTTCAAAGAACTGCAGCTGCTTTGGGGTGGATTTCTTTTTGTTAGCTGGTGCAGAAGGAAGCTAACATTACTGCTGGTTTAGCCAAATATCTAATTGCAGCTGTATCACTGTAGCAAATGTTTTTAAATCATCATTACATTGGAGATAATTGAAAACTCAAATGACAGAAATGACTCGTCAGATGAGGAGAACAGCAAGCTAAAAGCTAAAGTTAGCAAGGTAGCTGGCTATGTAGATATCTAGCTAGCTGAGTTGTACACTGATCAACTTTAAAACCACCTCTTTGTTTCTACACTCATTATCCATTTTATCAGCTCCACTTACCATATTTGTACACTACTTTGTAGTTCTACAGTTAAGTACATTATGCAGATGCGAAGGTACATTTTGCATTATGCAGATGAAACTGCACTTATTGGTGTTTAACATATGCTGCTAACCTATACTTGCTGTTAGCCTTGTTAGAGGCTCCTTCTTTCACAGTCAGCCTGTGCTTGCTCAAAAAGCAGGAAAATTCTGGCACACAGTTGAAAAGACACGATTCATAAATCATGTGTCCGCATAGATTTCCAGCATGAAAACATCCAGTATTTCGCTCTTTAACCTGAAGGTCCACTCAGAGTTCAGTGCTAAAAACACTACAGCTAGTAAGAATGCATCACAGCTATCAGGACCAGGTCACATTAAACAAATGAGATCAGGCTAATTGGTGTTTTTCATGCACTGCTAACTTTTAGCCTTGTTAGCTTTTTTGCTCAGAGTGTTTCGTTCGTTTAAGCTCGGAGGATTAGCGCAGGCTGTCCTGGCTTCAGTGAATCTGTGCATCTCTATAAAAAATGATTCTGGTCTAATTACTGGAATCATTAGCGTTTAATGAGCTGTCTCATGGCACCCCGTGTTCTCTCTCTCTTAAGCTACTACGGCCTGACCGTGTGGTTCCCTGACATGATCAAGTACCTGCAGAAGCAGGAGTACTCCTCCCGCACCAAAGTCTTCATCAAGGAGAAAGTGGAACACGTGACCTTCAACTTCACCCTGGAGAACCAGATCCATCGCCAAGGAGAGTACTTCAACAACAAGTAAGCACTTCAGAAATATTGGGCCCCAGCGGTGAGATATATAGCCTGTTGTTTTCAGAGTTCTCTTTCTGCTCATCTGGCTGATGTGAATGAAAGCTTTAATGTGATTCGCTGGTGCATCACGACCGTTAAGTGCCCACTCATCAGAAGGCATTTGTAATGATAATGGTCTCCAGTGTAGTGTGTAGTTGCAATGTTCCCTAATGAACACAGCAGGTGTTAACACTCATTTCTGCATGAAGTCTTCAGATAACTTGGCCGAGTTGAGCCACACGACGTTAGTATATTTATATGTGGACTGTGTACCAATAACCTTGCCTCGCCGAATACTAGCCATTTGCTAAGCTGAGTTTTTCCCAGAGTGCTGAGACTTTCTCCTGGCTTTCCTGAAGGTTTTTGAACCTGAAAATGAAGTCTATGGTCTTTGAGGACTCCCTGTTCGAGGAGTGCTACTTCGAGGATATCACCTCCACCAACACCTTCTTCAAAAACTGCACCTTCATCGCCACCCTCTTCTACAACACAGGTGAGAACAGGGCGGCCTCCTTGGAAGTCATCCTGCCCTCCATCTCCCTTGTTATCCCAAGCCTTGTCCATTAGCTAACTGACCTATCTAGGCTTTAGCCACAAATGTGTTCCTTTGTAGTTACTAGGAATGTAACAGCTACGCAACAGAACATGGGAGGACTGCTGTGATGATCTACAGTAATTGCCTCGGCTCATACCTACGCAGCCGTGATATTATTTGAGATAAAATAAAAATTAAAGCAAAAAAGATATGAACGTTTTAAGCAAATGTGCTTTAATATTAGCAGTTCCTTCCAACAAAAAGTAGTACCCTTTCGCTGTATGGATAGAGCCATTAAACTGTCGTGGTATCAGGTTCAGCTCAGCTTTTTCAGTACCTACCCCATGCATTTTGTTATATTGTGACCAGCATGTTAGCTAACCCAATAGCAGTTTGTCCAGTTTTATGCAGACCTGTTGAATCAACGTTGATTTCAGATATGGTTTCTATGGTAAAGAGCACATACTGTTCTATGTTGAATCAACCTAGAAACCCTGTTGAAACTAGAGAGTTAATCAGTTCTGGTTCAACCTTTGTCCAAATACTGATTATAGTCTAGTTGTTTTGGTGTTAAATCATACATTATTATATCACAATGTTAAATCACACGTTTTATGTACAACAGGATTTCTATAAAAATTTTATTTTAAATCGTTACACTCCTAGTAGCTGCTGTTGCAAAGTTGGACAAGGTTTATAGACTGTTGACAAAAACCCATTCAGTCTTTTCAAAATACGTAATTTCAAGTAATCTTTACTTTGCATGCACTTTTTTGCTCTATACTTGGGTTTTAGGGATAAATTGATTTGGATTTAATTGATAGGCGTAGCAGAAAGTTTACTGCTTCAGCTTTTTTTTTTTTTATTGCGAGTTAGAGAAGCCTCTGTTAAATGTTTACATAGTTTTAAAAAATGCCTGCAGCCCCCTAATAATACCACTAGATCATACAAGAAGTACACTTGATCTATACAGCGTGACTTTTTACATAAATACAAAATAAATATTATTTGAAATGAGTAACACTCTAAACTGAGTTGTGAACTACAGTTATTCATTGGGTTGAATGTCCAACCTCAGAACAGTAGCTACAAAAGAGTGCATTCATGGGCGGAGCATTGAGAGAGAAGTTAACGACCCCTTTAATGACTTCAAAATGGACGTTGTAGCAGGTGAGGCACTAAACTGCAGGGCAAGATTGAGAGCCCCTGCTGTGTCCGGTAGCTTTGCGTTAATTGTCTGGACAGGCGTAGTAAAATTTGTAAGGCAGAGACAGGCTGAGCCCAGTCTTTCTCATCTATAATCCTTAAACAGAGGACTGTCAGCAAATACACTCTCCATCAGTCAAAATGACCTCATTCAGTGGAACTATGTGATGCACTGAAATGGTTTTAGGTATCCTAGCAACACAGGCTGCAATGCTGTCTCCTAAGGAAGGAACAAAATCTGTTGCCGCTATGTGAGCCTAAATAGATGCTTTTAAGGGTCTATTAGATGAATACCAAAGGCCGAAATCTTCTTAAATGTCTCTCTGTGCTCTCTGCGCTTCAGCATGAATGAGGCTACTTACATTGGTATGTCATCATATAATAAACTATTCTGTCACAAATATTCATTATTAGAAAGGTCACAGATTTGAATGTGCACTACTCAAGCAAATCTGCATCTGTTGTGAGGCTGCAGCTGCATACGACCAGGCATAAACTGGTTGGCCTTGGAGTGTAGGATAGTATACAAATGCTAACATGACTCACTAAACATGAAAGCTAGCATCATTGTTCTTGATAGATGATTCTATATAAGCCCACAGGAAAACTGAATATAGCAATATGTGGTCAATATATTCCACGACGTAAAGAGAATATACTAAAATATGTTCTCAGTATATTACGTTAACTGCTCTGCTCGTGGTCAAGATAAAGACAGGTATCAAATTAAAGGAAAAACCTGAATGTATGAGTGAACGAATGTAGATGCTTCCAGACAGGTAAGATACAGTTAAGCAATCAACGTCCTTTCATGCTCAGTGCCAAGTATAAAAATGCTGAGCAGGCCCTGTTGACCTGGCAAGAGGAAAAGATCTAAGTGACTTTGAAAGAGGGTGCCTTTAGATCCATGGGAAAGACATCAGTAAACATGTTTGGACACCAGTGGTGAACTGTGACTATTAGAGCTAGGCTTTCAATTCAAGCCAATCAAATTAATGGATAAATATAACGGGCATTTGGTGCTGGTAATAAACCGCCTCTCTTCTTCTTTTCAGACCTGTACAAGTACAGACTGATCAACAGTCGTCTCATCAACAGCACCTTCCTGCATAACAAAGAGGGCTGCTTGCTGGACTTCAGCGACGAGAACAACGCCTACATGATCTACTTTGTCAGTTTCCTGGGCACGCTGGCTGTCCTGCCTGGGAACATCGTGTCTGCTTTGCTCATGGACAAGATCGGACGCCTGAGGATGCTGGGTAAAAGAGCTTGTGACCTGTAAAGGCCAGTCAGTGACTAGTCAGCTGTGAATGCAACAGATCAATGAAAGAAATTTTAAGTAGCAAAGGGTTATTCAGTGTATACCAGTCCAGAGCCTTCCACTTTTCCCCTCTACCTAGATTTCATGAAGAAGCAGTAATCAGTCAGGGAGCTGTTTCAGTTAACTACCAGTGATTAAGAATAAAAGGACTGGATTGGATTCACGTCCAGTACTTGTTACTTTGAGTTCAAAGCAAAGTCATTCAGTCCTTCAACACCTAGTACATTCTGCATTTTTGTTTTTTTTTCCAGTTCTTACACATGCCCTACTTAGTACTTATTTTCCATTAAAATGACAGTTCAGCTGTCTGAAAAATCAGATTCACACAATTTTCCCCTTACCCCAAATGTTGTCAGTCAGACAGAACATGTCAGGCATTAGTGGAGCTATGAGGTTAATGTAACAAATCTGTAATGAAAATGTATAAACACCTATTACTATACCACATAGTATTATACAAGTGTACTATCCATATTATGCTACTATACATGGTATTACTACTATAATACATACTGTTGTTGGACTTTACTGTAGGGCAGTGTGCATAAGGCTACTTGGCACCTATGTAAGCCTTCCATGATAACTGACCACTATCATCAAAAACTGCATTCGAACTGCAAAATTAACACAACAGCTTAACGTTACTCTTTCAGTTTATACCATTTGTTGTGAACATTGATGTAGAAACCTACTGTTTATAGTAAAGGCTTTGACACTGACAGTCTTGATACTGTACTGAGAGTTATGTACACCCATCATCTATAACATTAAGTACACCTCCTTGTTTCTACACTCATTGTCCATTTTATCAGCTCCACTTACTATATAGGTGCATTTTGTAGTTCTACAATTACAGACTGTAGTCCATCTGTTTCTTCTTTGTTAGCCCCCATTTACCTTGTTCTTCAATGGTCAGGACCCCCACAGAGCACAGTGTGTTAGTGTGTGTTTTGCTGGTATGAGTGGATCAGACACAGCAGTGCTGCTGGAGTTTTTAATCACCTCAGTGTCACTGCTGGACTGAGAACAGTCCACCGACCAAAAATATCCAGCCAACAACGTCCTGTGGGCAGCGTCCTGTGACCACTGATGAAGGACTAGAGGATGACTAACACAAACAGATGCAGGAAGAGATGAGCTACTGTCTCTGACTTTACATCTACAAGGTGCACCAACAAGGTAGGAGTGTCTAATAGAGTGGACAGTGAGTGGACACAGTGTTTAAAAACAACAACTGATCCACTTGTACCAGCACAACTCACACTAACACACCACCACCATGTCACTGTCACTGCAATACTGAGAATGAGCCACCACCTAAATAATACCTGCTCTGTAGTGGTCTTGTGGTGGTCCTGATCACTGAAGAACAGGGTAAACGGGGGTCTAACAAAGTATGCAGAGAAACAGATGGACTACAGTCTGTAACTGTAGAACTACGAAATGTGCAAATGTGTATAGTAAGGGGAGCTGATAAAATCGACAATGAGTGTAGATACAAGGAGTGGTTTTAATGTTATGGAAACTTGCTTTACCTAATGGCCACAGAAAGTGCTCACTTTTGTTCAACCAGCCTGACCAGGGAAGTATATGACATCATCAACATTATGTCACTGTGACATACACTGAGCTACAATGTCAGTCATCATAACTTGCACTTTCATTTTACCAAAGATAGTGTCATGACACCTGACAGATGCTGTGTCATGTTGACATCAAAGTTGGCAAATGCAACCTTTATGACAAATGATGACACCTATTTGAATGTTAATAAATGTTTATGTATATTAGATATATACTATTGTCATGAAGGGCTAATGTAGGTGTCATGTAGACTTGTGAACACCACTCTACAGTAAAGTGTTAACACATATTTCAGATTTCGCACTGGTATTTACTCCTTCATGGAACACATAGTTTTATGTTTTCCCTGCACACCTGACCTCTTGATGGACTAGTTGAGTGAAGAGTGTAGGGGCAGTAAAAGCACTAAACAGTGCAGTGCAGGGAGAGGGAACAGAATGTACTGCGCCTATGTTTATCATGTATTATGTATATTAGAGTTATAGTTCTTTTGCCTCAGAATAAAACCACACCAACGTTCTCTCCTCTGCAGCTGGCTCCAGTGTGATCTCCTGTGTCAGCTGTTTCTTCCTGTCGTTTGGGAACAGCGAGTCTGCCATGATTGCCCTCCTCTGTCTCTTTGGAGGCATCAGCATTGCGTCGTGGAACTCCCTGGACGTACTCACAGTAGAGCTGTACCCGTCTGATAAGAGGTAAGCCAGGTTAATCTTGTTTGAATGTAGCACATGTGGAAATATTGATATTAAAGGAATACTACTGTGATTCGGAAAAAAGGTAACTTACATGATTTTCCACTCACCTCAAACACAGTCAGCCAGCCAAGACATGTTTGGTGTCACAATTTTAGCTCTTTAGTTTACAACTAGGAGGTACAAGGCTAATGTTGCTAACAAACACTGGACGTCAGTAATCTCTCAAACTTTCCATAAACACATGCCCAACGTGTCTCTTGAACCATTCTTGATCGCTCTGCATCACTGGGAGATCTGGGACTACCTGTAGATTTCTTCATTCTGTTTTTGCAAAATGGGATGCAATGAGCTACCTTCCTGCTGAGTTTAGTTCTAGCCTGTATCCAATAAGCTGCCCCAGCCGTTATCTAACTCTAATAGATCTGATCCAGCCAGTCAGGGACTTGGGAAGAGGTTAATTAGCTGGAGTGGGTGAGGCAAAGAGTGGTTGGAACTAGGCTCTGCAGGAAGGTAGCTCTGTAGGACCAGGGTTGGAGACCACTGCCTTAGGTATTACTGTGCTAACACTGCGAATCTGCATAGTGACATTTTAAAACGCCCCTGCATTCCAGCATCAGTTTGAAGGTGAAATACTTCGGCAAAACAGGGTGATATCATAGTTCCAATTTTAGCTTAAATGTTCAAATAAGGTCTGTCTGTGTCATTTTACCAAATTCTGTTTTTCTGAATGATTTTAAGTAGCTTATCGCTGTAATTTGAAAAAAATATATGATGATTTTCACATGTATTTGTGGAAACAGTTTGGGTGACTATTTACTTTGCGTGTTTGTTAGCATCATTAACCTGGCATTTCCAGTTCTAAACTAAAGAAGCAAAACTTGGGACACAAAACATGTCTCGGCTGATCAAATGCATTTAGGATAAAAAGAAAATCATGTAAATTAGAGGTCTGCACGTTTTTTCAGTCCCAGTCCCACAAGATTTTATCCTGCTCCTCCAGAAAATCAAAACAGTTGGTCGAGCTCCCGCCCACAACTAAAACAGTTTGATCTGCTCCCGGTCGTGCAGTTGCGTCAAGGCGAACTGACGTCCAATATCTGACAGTCTATTCACAAATACATCATTCTCTGCTGAAATAACATGGTAGTCATGGTCATCAGGCTCACTGTGAAGTAACTTCACCAAACGCCATTTATTCCCAGTAAACACACAACAAGAATTAAACCACCAAACCAAACGTCCAAACCACACCGCTCACTGCTGCCAAATAACTGTTTGGTTATTTTTGGTGTTTTGCTGGGCTTGGCAGCTGTGGCTGTCGGACTCCAGCGGGAATCCCATGGGACTGCAGACTTCTAATGTAAATAGACAAATTGTTCCTGTAAAATACATATTTATGTAAAATAGGCAACACTTTACTATAACATTGCCTTAAACATGTCATGAAAGGTGCTATATGTGGTCATGATGTTTGTCATGACAGCTTATGTCACGTGCCAATTTTTTCCTAAGCGTACATAGTAATAATAACATGACCCTGTTATATTACTGGACATAATCTGTTACGACAGCTCATGACAGCTTAGGACATCTGCCATGACATCTTTGTGACATGGTTAGTTGAATGGTTTGTTGCAGGGTTGAAGTGTTATCTAAAATTCAATAGTTAGTCATATAATATTGGAATATTTGAGATGAACCGAGCAGCTAAGTTGCTAAAAATCATCTGTCTGTATTATAGGTGTGTAAAAGGCCATGATGAGTTAAGGATTACAGGTCATGATGTATTAAGGTTTTTTTATTGTAAAATAAACACCTAATGAATAGGGTAAGAGTAAACACTATGTAATAATTACACTAGTGTTTTTATTGCTCTTAAGTGCATTTGCTGCATAGCCACTGCAGTGCCACCTCCTCTCTGCAGCATACATGCATCATCATTCTTGGGGGGAATCTCTCATAATTCGCTCTCAAAATGTCTGAAATCCCAGCTGGCTTGGCATTGAGTACTACGCGTTATTTGTGGTAGGATGTGTAGTAACCATGGTGCCTGCCACAGTTTTACCTTACATGCCAAACAGCACCCCCATGTGGCCAATCCTTCATGTTATTTGATTCAGGCTGTAATATTTATGGCATATAATATTTGATTCAGGTTTAAGCAGAAGTGATGCGCATGATTTAAAGTTTCCCAAAGATCGAATTCCATTAAAGAGAACACGCCAGATCTTTTTCAACCAAGTAGTGGAAACTTATAACCACCAATCAGCATTGTGCAAACTGCATGATTAAATCAACACACGCCTGAGATCAAGTTGGACTGTTAAGTAATCTCCTGATGTGTTTCTGACACTGTATGTATAAAAATGGACAAGCGTACAGCTCAGGCTTCTAGCATAGTGGTTTTACTATACAATGTCCTTTTGTACATTTTTATAGATAACAGTAACAACATTAGCTATTCGAGATTACTTAACAACTCAAGAAGTTTGTATGATCACTTACGCATGCAGTTTGCACAATATAATGGCTGTATTATCCCAGATGGAGTTAATCAGCCATGACAGCTGGAGCTACGAGGCTGATGTTGCTAACAAACACTAGACATCAACAGTCACCTAAATCTTTTCTGTAAAAAAAATGTACATAGACTTGTCCATGTGGTTTATGGCTTATCATGACTTACTGTGAGCTATAAAAATGAACAATTGGTCAAAGTGTTGCTGAAAAGTGGGATCAGCCTTTTTTGTCAATAGGCATTGATACATTTTTAAGTGTACATCTTCAGTTCGAAAATTCAAGATTAAGTGATTTATAAAATAAATCACGAACATCTGTAGCATTCATGTGTCTGCATGACACGCAAAGAGGAGTTCGGCACAACACCTGCTGTCTGCAGTGATGTTTTTCTGCAGTGTTCAGCAACACAGTAAAGTGTTGCTCATTGTTACAGTTCACAATAAGGCAGACTGCTCCAAACCACACTGATAGGTCTGCATGACCTTTATGTAGAGCTGGATGTGGTTTGAGCAGGTTGAGAGACGTTTTGGGGATGTATTTATAGAAGAGATACGGGTGTCGTTTGACTTCTAGTGTTTGTTAGCTACATTAGCCTTGTAGATCCAGTGCTAAAGAAGCAAAACGTGTCTTAGCTGAGGGTAAGTGGAAAACTGTGTAAATTGCATTTTTCATCAAACCTTTCTTTTAAAGAAGCTCATTTTGAACACCAGACATGTCATGGCTGATTGAATACATTTTGAATAAACATTTTAAGTAAACTTAAAAATTGTGAAACTTGTTCATTCTGTCTTCCACAGAACTACAGCCTTTGGCTTTCTGAACGCCCTGTGCAAGCTTGCTGCTGTGCTGGGAATTAGCATCTTCCAGTCCTTCGTGGGCATCACCAAAGCGGTGCCCATTCTCTTCGCCTCGGGGGCGCTGGCAGCCGGCAGCTTCCTGGCGCTGAAGCTTCCGGAGACGCGGGGGCAGGTGCTTCAATAGTGCAACCTCCCTGCCAGCAGGTGGCGACGTTGAATACGAAGTGTTCCCCAAACCCCATTGATTGAGCCACGCTGCAAGCAGCGGAGAAAAACACACAAAAAATACCATTTTGTCCTCTCATTACAGGAGATATAGATGTTATACCATAGCCCCTCCATTTTCTGTGTTGAACGATTTCCGTCATTTTAGCAAGGAGCAAACAGTTCTTAGCAACTCAAGTCAGATTGTTGTACTGGGGTCATTTCCCCTTAAGGTCATGTAGTTGGGTGACGTCAAAACACCAATCTTGCCGCAGAAAAGCCATCCGTCGTTCAAACCAGTCTTGTGCAAGTTCCTCTCATCCAAAAAAATAGGGTTAAGATTCACACTTTCTCGTATTTGTCTATATTAAAGTGGCACAGTCTTAAGGATGTTGGGTTTGAGTCCTGGGCTGCAGGTCTGATCTTGTCCTTATCTCCAGTGTCCTTACAGGGAAAACAGAGGTTGTGTGTGTGTTTATGTCAAGTGTACGTATGTGTGCGTCAAACAACTGCCATTTTAGACACATTCCAGGTTTATTTATAGTTTGAACGTGAGAACCGGTTTGTGATGAGTTTGACTTCTCCCTTTAATCTTAGTCCAAGCCATTCTGTTTGCTGGGAACCATGGGTGAGAATGATGGGTGTTGTCAGTGGGTTGATTTTTAATGCACGGACAGTGTTTTGAGTGTTTTTGCTCTAGTGTGGTGCTGGTTGTTGTTGTTATTTTCCGCTCGCGATATCGTGAGAACTCTCTTCTAAAACGACGTGAATAGTGGACATGTGCGTGTGACAAAGTGTCTCTCTCCAACAGTCCAACAGTCTTCGCTTTTGGATCACAGCTGTTTGTGGAAGGGAATGGTAGAATCACCAGTGCACTATAGCGTAGTTAAAGGTTTTATTTAGGAAAAACAGAAAGACGTTCAGTTGTACGCCATGAAGAGAATGCTGGTATTCTTTCAGAAATGGCTTTATTGAAAGTGTTGAGCATATAGGCCCAATGAAGTGTGGAAATACATAAGAATATGTTTATGACAGTATAGTATATATGACCTAAGTGCTGCCCCACCTCGTACTCTGCCCATGATGGTTTCTAAGGCCCTGTTCATAAGTGGTACTGACGTCCGTCCAAAGTGATCTGATCCTAAATAGACAGTGAGACGTATAGCCGTTTACATGTGGCATTTCCATGGATCTCGAATGCATCTCCAGTCACCTAATGTGATTGGATTTCTGACATTTACTGCACCAGTCTCTTGCTCCATTTGTTGTCAGACAATAATGTGCTTGGTTGCGTAAATGTACAGGCTGATTAGAGAGTCTCACATTGTTGTTGGGACATTTTTAGTGTTCACACTACAAATAAGAAGTGGTCATATGCATCCCTGACCACCTGAGTGATTAGATCACAGTGCGTCTCTGAGATGCACCAGAAAGTGCTATCAACTTATGGTTGGACCACCCAAGACATAAGTTAATGCCAGGTGTGGACAGGGCCTGAGATGATGTAAAATATGTGATATAATAAGACTGTGGTTGCCCCTATGAAAATGAAATATATTGTTATATGTTGTCAATATATTCAAAATATAAATAGGATGTATTGTAGTATATTTTCAATATATTACTTTTTGTATGGGCATGCTGTGTCCCATCACAAACCATGTTATAAGCCCTTTCCAGAACGATCATTACCTACTGTATATTTGCGTTCGTCAAACACCGCCAGTTCCATGCAGGCCCATCATTCCGTCCTCTTGTTCTCCTTGATCGTGCATTTTCTGATGAGGAGAATGCAAAAAAAAGTTCTAGTGATTAAAATATTTTAAAAAATGTCTTTTCTTCCATCAACACAAGGTTTCTTGAAAAAGACAAAAAAATCACAAGGGAAAAAATAAAAAACAAATCAAGCACAAGATGGTTTGATGAGACTATCAAAAACCCAATAGGTTTATTTTGAAAATGATGTAAATTATGTACTGAATATAAATATACAGTTGAGTCTGTCTGTTTGAACACTCTAGCTAATATTAAATATATAAATATATAGGGGAAAAATCTGATTAGACGAAATCTTTCTGTTTCAGATGTTGAAATAGTACCATAATGTCTTAGATAGGTTCTACTTGATGTCTGTATATATATATTGTTTTAAGGTACTTTTATTTTGAACAAAAACAAATATTCAGAGACCTGGTAAATACAAATGCAATCCATGCGTAACTTGTCCGTTCAAACTTTCTTTTCTGTTCTTACGGCGACAAAGAGGTATCTGTAGGTGTGTATGTACGTATGTGTGCGTGTGCTTGCATGTGAAACGTTGAGGTGTTCCACAGAATATTTGTATTTATTATTTATTTATATGATGGCGAGTTTGATTTTATAGTATTTTTTACTTTGGATGTCTGTAGAAACAGGTTGTGCCACAAGCAGGGTGAATTTATCGCTGTGTCGTTCACATCTCTACAATTGAACACTGGAGACGTTTTAATGAAAGTCCGGTTTAAAAAAATGCTGGACGTTAAAACATTAAATAGATCTGATGAGCAAAACTGATACTGGGGGCGTCAGAGGAAGCCAGCTGAGTGAACAGCACAGAAATGTATCCAAATGACTTTCTGTTGTGATTTTCAGTCTGGTGATTTATGTTTTCTCCAGCGTAGACAGCACCTGATCATATGTTCCGTACAATTCTTACTAAATAGACTAATAAGGACTGCCTTCCGCTAACTACACAGATCCTTTTAGCAGCAAACCAGATTTCCAGTCTCGGATGCTTCCGTTTGCGGATAGTGCTTATCACAGCGACAATGCAGAGGTGTCACTCTTCTTTACTGCCATTTTGTAGGATAGCAGCCATACTCTAGACGTACTCAGACAAAAAACACATTACAGTAAGCTGGTCCTCTCTACTTCAGCATCAGATTAACTTAGTAGCATTATGATTTGTTACCAAAGTAGTTTTGGAAGTGACTGCGATCAATTTCAAGCACAATCTGACTTCAGTCAGCTAGATTACTGTACATGCCTAATCTCAGTGTCATACAGTCAGGCAAAAATCATGACTAGGCTAAATCAGGCTTTAGGAGATTCCAGTACAAATCGCTCCAGGAACGGCCTCCACTTCTTCGCCATGAGGTCAGTAGGAAACCACATCACAGATTGCATTAGTGACAATCTTTACGTGCGCCACGTGTGATCGCCAAAAATGGTCTACTTCTTCAGCTCAGACTTGAGCTGGTATGATGCGAAAAGGAAGCAGAGACTGGTTTCAAACGCTAATAGGAGCCAAAAAAACGAGCGCTGTCGCTCATGTAGGACCCAAACCGTAGGCGCACAATATTCTACTCAGTTACAATCGAAAAGAGCAACAAACCTGTACTGAGCCCCTAAAGGACCTTTGAAAGAAATGTGAAGTCAAAGTGAGCCGGAAAATTTAAACGCTTTTCTCTTATGTGCCACGACGTGTTTACGAGTATCAGAGAATGTCTAAGCTAGCTTTGTTTCTACACTTCAATCAAATGTTACATTTAAGCATTTGGCAGTTGCTCTTTTTCAGAGCGACTTACAATTTAATCATGTACAGAGGGCAATTGTAAAGTTAGGAGTCTGGCCCAAGGACTTGTTGGTGTGCTTGCCTGGGTAGGGCATTGAACCCGTTAGCTGGATGGAGGGCTGTATTACTCACACTACACCAACAACATTAGTGATTATAACAGTATAGTATGATGAATTGGAAGTAAATCCTCATACTGCTGTATAGTATGAGGATTTACATTTTTTCCATCGACCTTTAGGGGCTCAGAAAAAGCTGTTATTTTTTAATTTATCAGGGAATAATTTTGAGCTCACATAGGAAAAGCACATCCCAAGTCATTTCCGAAAGTTCCCGTACTTCAGTAGGCTATCACTGCCAAGTTGGCCAAGCAAATTTTTTGCCGAGATCTGTTCTCATCCGCAGTTGTACAGCTTGTATCTCTTAGCCGTCACGTCTCTTCCGTGTTGTCCTTGGTCCGCCCATTGAACTACAGACGAGGATGTCAATATTTGCTGTCGTATGCTGTGAAATCGCTGAACTACAGTAAACGATCTCAGTGAAGCTATGACTTTGTACGTAAAAGCAGTCCTAGAATTTGTGAACTTCACCTGTTTGGATTGTTACTGGTTGTTTAATTATTGTTATTATTATTTTTTTTATGTTTTTTGTTACAGGGTCTTTTTGTAATTCTGAACGTGCTCACTTAGCAGCAGTCCATCGCGTGTGCAAAAAGAAATCAAAGCAATAAGTGACTGACAGGTTTCTTTGCTCCGACCCCCCCAAGCTATTTGGGAAAAGAAAGCACACTGAAAACAAACAGGCCACATGCGACGAGATGTGTAGTGATTAAAAGAGAAGAATATATATAAATATATAGAGAACTATCTAAAAGGCCAATGTCCACCATTCTACAAATATCCCATAGGTCTTTTGATGCTTTTGTCAATAACAATGTATTGCCATAATTTAAATGTGACAAAGAGTTTATCACCTTATCATTGTACTGTGCTGTAGAGATTGTAGTTGTTTGTATGTAAAAGTATAAATATGTGGAACAATAAAAAATGAAAAAGACAAAAACCGTTGAACACAAGAAATAGAGTACTATTGTATGTTGTTCATTTTTGTGATCCGTTTCTTTTTGTACATGAGAATGACAATGGCGTGAAGACGTTGACACTATCGTTGAACTCGGAGACTATTTCAATGTTACACCAAAATGGTTCTGTACTAAGGTTCGTGAGAGGCGCCTCATTTTCCGAGTCACGCTGGGAATTGCGCTGCACCTGTGCGGTGAACTAACCCTGTTCTTCAATGAAATGAAACCTACATATGGATAATAAACAAATGTCATGAAGACCACTGGCTTGGCAGTCATTGATATTCAGTTCCATTCAATGCAGATTTATTTGTATAGCCCCTTTTACAGCGGCCGGTGTCAATCAGCAGCTGTGAGCAAGCCGAGAATAATAGTGGCAAAAAACTGGATAGCAAAACAACACATTCATTCATTCATTCATTCATCTTACCCGCTTATCCTTCTGGGTCATGGTGGGGGGGTGCTGGAGCCTATCCCAGTACTCACTGGGTGGAACAAAACAAGAGTAATAAGAATAAAGAATAAAAAATTGACAATAATTAATACTGAATAAAGATAAGAAATGAGCCTGTCATTGGACAGAGGTATTAGAGGTATTAACCAATGATAACCGATAACTGAATCACTGCCAGTAAAGCCTTTCAGAGTTAAAGGGAGAATTAAATCTATGATAACCAATTACTATGTAATGAAAACGTTTCAGAAAGGCTTCATAAGCTTTGATTAGAACCCACACAGTTGGCTTATCTTGGTCTAATGGGAACACAGCTAGTTTCACACTATGCAGGCCACTTGGTAACACTTTATTTGAAGGCTTCCTACATAAGGATGTCATAACACATGCTTAAGCAATAACTGAGTATTTATAAACAACGTATGACAGTAATTGCAAGGTACCATCAGCTGAAGTAAATGACATTGTTTTAACAAGGGTTTTGTACTTCAACTCATGTAGAACTACATAGAACAGATATAGACTTCTAAGCTGGACCTCCGTTCCAGTCCCATTAATGGTAGCGATGCTTCGTAATAGTGTTATAAATACTAGCAATGTCCAACAATTTAGTTTAAGGTCCTTTAAATCAATGCAGTGTCATTTATTTCATAGAACATCTTATGTTATCTTGTGGTTACTGACATAAGCTGGTCATAAATACTCAAATATTGCTTCATAAATGTTATTCAGTGCTTATGCATGTGCTAAGTAGTCACTATGTATGTAGGTAGCCTTAAAATAAAGTGTTGCCCAATATTCATTTCACAATGGCCATATACTGCATTATTACCTCATTTTAAGAGGGAAATTCAGCTTAACAACTTTATTTTGAACCTCAATGTATCTATTTTGATTTAGTGTGAAATCAGGTACCCGGATGACGTGCTACTTCAGAAGCAAATCTAAGTTATCATGTTGCAGTGCTGCTTAGTGCCTAAACCAGGGGTGGCAAACTGCGGTCCTGGAGGGCTTGATGTCCAGCACAGCTGGTTTTCCTGCTGTTAACACACCAACCAAACCTGGCAAAAACCCAGCTGAGTTTAATCAGTTATGGTTGAGCAAGTAAACCACCAAACTGTGCAGGACTCCGACCCTCCAGGACTGGTGTTTGCCACCCCTGGCCTAAACGTTACCAGGCACTTTCCATTTCCAGCTCATTTTATGCCTCAATGCTCTTTAAAACGGTGTTCTACAGGAAACTAGTGGTCTCTGTTGGAAACTATTAAGCAAATTCACATTAGAAAGCAAAACATTAAGCTTTAATCCTAGTGGTTTCTGGTGGTTCTTTTTCAGCAGAACTCACTGACATTGAACTTTCTTTTTATGAAATATATTCAGAACAATGTTCTAGTAACACCATAATTACAATGTTATTTGGTTACATGCCAAGCAATGTAATGTTAAAAAAGAATGATTTTTCTTATTTTTTTTAATCGTTGGTGTTTTTTTGACTAAGTATTAATCAAAGTAAGTGTTTTTCCTTCAAAACTCTTATTTTCCCACGTCTGGCTGTCAAATCAGAAACTATATGAGCTGCTTTCAGCATAAATGCCTGAATAACAGGGTTAATGTGAGTAACAGGGTTGAACACACAGATCATTTTCCCCATTCCGTTGAAATTAATGCAGTAAAAAAACAAGCTTGACACTGTAACGACAGAAGAACCCTTTTCAAAAAGGTTCTATACAGAACCATCTACAGCACATTCTCCATCAGTCAGAAGAACCTTTTCACAGTGCAAAGAACCGGTTAATCATGCAAATGTACCATTTTCTTTACTAAAGAACCCTCGAAGCCGTATCTTTTTTAAGTGTGTATACAAGATGAAGGAGCAGAAGGAAAAGTTGAAAATTTGTTTTAATCAAAATGTTTTCATTAAAATGTTTGTTGCATTTAATATTTATTTACAGTAACTGAAGTTTGAAAAAATGGGTAACAAGGCTGCAAATTTAGCCTTAAATAAGCAGCATTCAGGAGCGGTTAGCTTGACAGGGTGCACATGTCGCATGCTAACTTCTAATAACTATAGTATAGTGTAGTTTAAAAATATATAAATATATACACTGGTCAGGCATAACATCATGACCACCTCCTTGTTTCTACACTCATTGTCCATTTTATCAGCTCCACTTACTATATAGGTGCACTTTGTAGTTCTACAGTTACAGACTGTAGTCCATCTGTTTCTCTGCATACTTTGTTAGCCCCCTTTTACCCTGTTCTTCAGTGGTCAGGACCCCCATGGACCCTCACAGAGCAGGTACTATTTGGGTGGTGGATCATTCTCAGCACTGCAGTAACACTGATGTGGTGGTGGTGTGTTAGTGTGTGTTGCGCTGGTCTGAGTGGATCAGACACAGCAGTGCTGCTGGAGTTTTTAAACACCTCAGTGTCACTGCTGGACTGAGAATAGTCCACCAACCAGAAACATCTAGCCAGGATGGTTCTGTGGGCAGTGTCCTGTAACCACTGATGAAGGACTAGAGGATGCCCAACACAAACTGTGCAGCAGCAGATGAGCTACCGTCTCTGACTTTACATCTACAAGATGGACTGACAAGGTAGGAGTGTCTAATAGAGTGGACAGTGAGTGGACACTCCAGCAGCACTGCTGTGTCTGATTAACAGGGGGCTAACAAAGTATGCAGAGAAACAGATGGACTACAGTCTGTAACTGTAGAACTACAAAGTGCACCTATATAGTAAGTGGAGCTGATAAAATGGACAATGAGTGTAGAAACAAGGATAATAATGTTATGCCTGATCGGTGTATACAAGTAATAAATAATATATAAATATATATTCTTTTTTCTAACAATTTTGGTAACAGGGTTGAAGCTTTACTTTTTGTGTATAAATTGAGAAAATAGAATGAAAATACTTGTCTGAAGGTCATACTGCAGAAAACAAGAAGACGATGCAAATTTCTGTACACGCTAATAAATGTATTGTATTTTATAAGGGAGACATTTTATTTGTTGAATTAAATAAATTACCATTCTTTGCTTGGAATGTAACCAAATCACATTGTAATAATGGTGTTACTGCAAGATTTTCTAATGGGACATGGCTAAATTGTTTCCAATAAAGACCTTTAGACCTCGTTAGGAAATCTACAAATGCATTTAGTCTTTAGACTTTTAGACCGGAATCGACTTTTAGACCGGAATCGAAAAAAGCTTCTCGAGTTTTGACAGATGAGTGTGAACCGTGGTGAATCGTGAGCGGTTATAAAGGCTGTGTTGTGGCGTTCAGGACGGAGCGACATCGAGAAAAACACAAAGACTCCAGCATCACCTGCGGGTTTCCCACAGAGAAACAGACAACAGAGTAGACCAATGAAATGAGTCGTAGGCGGAAAGGGTAAGAAACACATACTAGTTTAAAGACCAGTAGAAGTGTGATGATTTTAGACCAATGAAAAGAAGACGTGGGCGGAGTTGATCAGGTCCGGCTCCACCCCTTTGGACTCGTGGTTCTGCGAGTGATAGTCGAAAGACTCACCAACAGTGCACCTTTCTCAAACAGCCGTGCCTTGAGGGCATTTTGAGCCTATTAAACTCTTTTTTTTGTACACAAATGGTTTGGTTGAATAAAGTTTTGTCTAATCGGACTGTAGTTTTGAGTTTTTTAAATCAGATTTTTCAGTTAGGCTAACTATCACTTTAATTAGCTAGCTAGGTCGCGGGTAGCTTATTAACTGAAGAAGGACGATTTGCTGCAAGATACTGAAATGATTTGTGGCCAAACCAAGCGCTGCTCGGTTTAACAGCCTGTAAATAACTGATAAATCATATATTTAAACCGCCTTAACTCACCGTTACCGTCCTGCGCTGTGACCGTTACAGACCCGCCTCCGCTCTCGGTACCGGCTGTTTCAGACGCCGTGTGTGAAACGAGGTCAGCTTCCTGTTCGAATTTTCCTGTTTTAATGTTTTTGGGGCACATTAAATATTTAATTTAGTTTAAGTCGTGCTCAGTTACATACACTTACAGTAAAGACTGAAAACCTGCCTATATTTCCCCCCTTTTCTCCAGCAGTTGGGTTTTGGGCAGCAGGACGCCGGCATTACTGCTACTGAGTGCTGATTGGCTGGTGAGCGGAGCAGCTCATTGGCTGTTCGCGTTAGATTGAGTTTATGCAGCAGCATCAGCAGGAGGGTCAGTTCATCCAGGTGAGGTTTGCACAGCTTGGTACAGCGTGAAGCTCCATGGTGGTCAAAACGAGGGAGAGAGAGAGAGAGAAAGAGAGAGCGAGAGAGTTAGCGAGAGAAAGAGAGAGAGAGACAGAGAGAGAGAGAAATTGATTAACAGGACAGGTCCGTTTATGGAGAGATATTAGAGAGTAATAGTGCAACATAGTGAGATAGCGAGATAATTCTCCTCTCTCTGTTCTCTGACTCAGGCCTCATGAGGAGAGCTTCATATCTGTGTCCTTCCTTCGCCAGTAGTTGGCAGTTGTGATCTGCTCATGGGCCGCCATCTCACTGACGGAGAGGAAGAACGGAGCAGCCTCTGCGTGTTGAAGGAAGACGGAGGTTTGCAGTGAGGTGAGATAAAATAACAACAGTTCACACTCAGAACTGGGTTTTAGACAGTTTACTGAGACATCGAGGAGCTTAGGACCTTCTCAGCGTTAGTGCTCCATATTAGGAAGAAGGTCTGTCGTGTTAATGTGGTCAGGTAGCTCAGCTGGAGCGCTGGGTAACTGAACTGCATGGGTATGAAGTAAATACTGAATCTACTGCAGTTCAGATTACAGACAATAACTTAGTTTTCTACCAGTCCTTGTCTCGATTAAAGAGAGGTGATGAACTCCTTTTACTGGAGAACCTGGGTTTGGTTGCTGTGTTCATTCAGAAATGAAGCTGAAGTCGATTTATCCCGGTCCACCTTAAATGGTGCAGCAGTTACATTCTGGCGTCTATTGATATTGAAAACTTCAGTTTTTTAGCACTTTACTTAAAAAGCTGAAAGTACTCAAACACTCTGATAACCCACAGTGAGAAATACACAGCTAACAACACAACATTCAGTTATTGTTTTATTTTTGGTTTATTGTTTCATCTCTTAGTCATTGTTTTATATTTATTATTCTTTTCATAAATTTCACCAGCTTATACATTTTAGTTATATTTGAGTTGTTTTATATTCTTGTAGTTATTTTAGTAACTGTTCCTTACTATTTTTATCCCTATTTGATCTGTTATTTAGTTAATTCTGCAACTTTAACAGGTTTATTCTGATTTGAGTGGGTTTTTTACTGTTATATTCACTATTAAATTAAATTTACTAGTATGAATTTTTTTTTTAGCTTTTCAATCCAATCCTTTTCAATCGTTGATTTCTGTATTGGCTCGGCTACGTTGTAAATGAGGGTCACCCTCAATGTACTCAGAGATTAATTAAAGGTTGACTGGTTAGATTTGTTACAGGATCGGATCAGATTCATTATTTTTTTCTCTCCGATATCTGATTCAGCATTTTTGGCTGGTATTGGCCAAATACTGGTACCTGCTATTGGATCAGTTTTCCGTTTCTGTGGCGTCATCTTAACCAGCCAACTGCACACATTCCCACTAATTTTTTGCCAAAGAGTTGCACAAAAGCTTTTTTTAAAAAAAATTGTATTTATCTTCACAGGCCTTCTGTGGCTGCTGGCTCGCTCCTGCCCTTCAGATGCTGTCCAGCGTTCGTTCCTCCTCTCTCGCGCTTGCCTTATCTAGACAGTTATCTCATTTTCGGCCCAGCATGGAGCCCGGCGCTCATCGGCCTGTGGAGACGTCCATTCGGACCAAACTCACACAGGCTCTCCAGCCGGAGCATCTGGAGGTGCTGAACGAGAGCCACATGCATGCCGTCCCACCAGGCTCCGAGTCTCACTTCAGGGTGCTGGTGGTTAGCCCCAGGTTTGAGGGCCTCTCGCTGCTGCAGCGCCACCGTCTGGTCAACGAGGCCCTGCGCGAAGAGCTGAGCTCCAGCGTCCATGCTCTTGCCATCCAGGCTAAGACACCTCAGCAGTGGAGCAGCGACCCCAGTCTTGCCAAAAGCCCGCCCTGCCTCGGAGGCTCCAAACATGACAACACGGTGGCAGAAAAGCTGAAGGCTGGATCAAACTGATCCCAAGGAAGTTTCCTCCAAAGAGTGGAGGATTCAACTTTTAGTCATTTTTAGGATCTTCACCTCAGTCTGTTATACTCATAACTGCTCCATACGTTTCATAGAAGTTACTGAATAATTCATGGTTGTTACTAAATTATATCTTACGATTAATATCGGAATATTGCACCCAGGGTTTATGTGGTTAACAAGAATAAAAACATGGATTTAAAAAAAATCATTGCCATTTTGCAGTTATACTGGCTTCATATTAGAAAAGGAATGAAAGATTTAAATTTGATTTTTATATGCAAATTAGCTTCTCTATGTATGTTCTTATATTGAAGAACCAGGAGATGTATGAACTCTAAACTCCACCAGAGGGCAGTTCAGAGCCTGCATCTTACATTTTGGTCAGTGTTTCTTATCTGGGCTGAGTTTCCCAAAAGCATTGTAGCACAAAGGTGATTCTTAAATGGTAGAGCGAGCATGACACAAAACACTGCACAGTGCTGCCAAAAGGTTTCTGCTGCTCGGTAGCTGATGCTACAGAGTGCAGCTGTAGCACCTAAGAAGTTCAGCAAAAAAAAATCACCAAAAAACAAGACGCTTACATTTATTTCACCTTCTGTTCACAAAGATTAAATGCAATAAAACTTTTTTATTTAGTGAGTTTATCAGGTTTAAAGATATGTGAGGTGAAATTTGACGTGACTAGGCCAGTAATTATTTTGACCACTTTTTATTTTTATTTTTTAATTCATTACAGACAGTAATCTGGAAGGTTTGAGGTTGATCAAAATGTTTACCACACAATTTAAAAAATTTGAATGTGTTCATTTTTTATTGCGGCCTGCTGCGATATTAATATCAGTAACCCCAGTATTATGATAATGACTAATAAACGATATTTTATTATTTAGTCTCAATGTCGGAATCACAAAATGTGTGTTAGCTTTAGGCGTAGGCCACCTGCCTCAATCAAAATACTAAAGCAAAGCTTCAAATTTCAGCTTTAATAATATATTAACTTCTTTAGCCTATAAGCTTAATTAATTATCATTCTTAAGGCTAATCATTACCTGCTCTAAATTACTCAGTAACTTCTATGAAACTAACATGTAGGTTCTGTAGTTTTGAGAGCGAGGAACGGAAGTGTGGACCCACAAATGGACTCTTAAAGGAAAACTTTGTTCTGAAGTGCTTCCTGATTATTAGGGGCAGGTAATGAGGGTTACTGTTCACTGTTAGCAGTTGTTAGCATTTTCGGGTGAATCCCAGGTGTTGCAGAATCCCCCTGAGAGGCACGGCCAGCTGTCTGTAGCTCTTAGGTTGATTAATTCAGTGTCACTGGCTCAGTTCATGGTTGACAGCACACATTACTCTGCCTACAGAGCTCTGAACCGATGGCTCATTTCAGCACATCTATCATGGCTGTGAAACGTAATGCAATTTTTCTGTTCTAATCTGGAAAATTTGACCGTGCAGATTGGACAGCTGAGCTCAGATCAGTAGATTTTGAGTATTGTGTGATTTGTCCCACAATTTCATCACATATATTCTCCCACCCTCTCATCCACGTCTGTGTTAGACAAAAGTTTTTGTGGTCAAAGGGGTCACACTGCATATTACTGGAAGTGGCTGAAATCCTTGTTGTTTATGTCCTCGTGCTTTTGATTCTGGTAATTTAGCATCTCATGAACACCAAAAGTCACTAGGCCTAAAAAATGAATACAGCTGCTGCAGTAAGTTTGCAGTAAGAATTAAACTAGTTTGCAGTAAGAATTTCATAAAGTTTAATAAACTATCTTTCCATTTATTTACTTTATTAAAGTATTTAGACAGTTGTTTTAATGTTCCATATGCATTAAGGAGTGTTCTTGCAAAGGCTTTTGTGTGTCTATGATTTATTTAATTAATGATAAATAAACATAATGATCAAATCTCAGCCTGTGTGAAATATTTTTATAGAACTATTTTAACAATCATATAATATTCACCTTTATATCTAAATCTGGTCAGTTTTTACACTCACAAGCCTCATTGCTCAAATCAGATTTTTTGCTCTAATCCGATCTCTTTGACACAATGGTTCACACTCGTTTAGGTAAGTGATTCAAATCTGATTATTGTGAACGAACCGGCGTCCTGAAATGACCCACATGCGCACATCCTACTCAGTAACGTCACGTGAATGAATCACGTGCATCATCAGCACAAACTAACGAGCAGAACGAGCTTCGCTGTGAAGGTAATTAACTCTAAACAGCTCTCAGCTTCATTATTAGAGCGAGACGAAGGAGAAAAAGGTGAGATGTGTTGCTTTTCCACTGTTTACTGGCTTTAACTTCTGTTCGGCGCTGCTGCCATGGTAACGCTGAATGATAGCACAGGCACAGTGGAAAAAAGCACATGAATTCCAATCTGAGGGTCACATTAAGCTCATATGGCCACGAATCGGATACGTATCCGATCTAGGGCCACATATGAAAGTGGCTCAAGTGGATTTGAAAAGATCAGATTTGTGTGTCCACACAGCCCTGGAAACATCCGATCTGAGTCACTTTAGGGCAAAAAATCGCATTTGTGCCACTTCAGCCTGGTAATGTGAACGTAGCCTAAAATGCTTTAGTAGTGTAGTTTAATAATAGTAATACAGAGAAAAGTTACTTGGCTAAAAGATCTCAAGTAATAATAAAATGCTATATAAAGCATATCGTCGCTGTCCGAAGAAAAACATGCATCTCCAAAATAGTAACTTTACAGGAGAGGGCATAAACGTTCTTGAGTTTTAATGTAAGTCAAATTTTCTAATCAATTTTGCTCCATTTTTATTGGTCCATTTATCACAAATTTTTCACACAACGTAAAGAATGGCTGCCGTGCTCAAATGATGTAGAAAAGTGAAAATGGCAAAAAATGGAGATACATGTTTTTCACTGGACAGTGATGATATTTATTTGACCAAAGCCAGTGTAACAGTCATATTTTGCCCGATTTTGGCTATTGGGGTCCCCAATGTGTTAAACTTTGCGAATAGATAGAAACTGTGCACTACAGTTCGTAGAAAATGTCATAAGTTTGTTTCTTACAGAGGACGTGTTAACCTCAATGGCAAACCATGACTATTGGAGCTAGGTCTTTCATTTGGGCCGTAAATGTCAAAACCCAGTCAAAATACAAGGGAAAAAAACAATGTTCATGCTAACGTCTGCTAGCGTGCCAATGGGATTCTAGTAGTTTATTAGCACTAAGCTAATGGCGACTGACATTAACACTTTCTGCCTAAGCTTAAGTCACTTATTCAGATTTTCCAGTTGATTTTAAACGGTGCAGCAGTTACGTTCTGCCACATTTAGGCACCAGAACATGACTGCTGCAGCCTCTGAAGTAGAAATGAAAATTTGAAAAGGCCGTTCCAGAATAAACAAAGACATCTGAAGCTTGTGACAGACATTTCAGCGTATATTTTACCTGTAGCATTTTCACAGTGACTCTTTCAGTAGAGAGGCCTGTGGCCGGTGTTTTCATTTCTAACAACCCACTGATTAGCCTGCTGCTTGTGTTTAGTCAGTGACTTATCTAGAACTTGGAAGTGACCTTTTTTCTTATGAAACTGGTCTCACCTGTTAGGACTCATATGATTTGTTGATTCATCTATCACTACATAATTATGCTGACAGCTAATGCTAATGTGTTAGGACTTCTCCTCAGCTGTTGAAGTCCTAACCACTAGGAGAGCTCGCTTAGCTATATCTACCTACATACCACAGAGAAAAACAATTACTGATTGGCCAGTTTTCTGCTCTGCGGTTCAAGAATTAAACTTGTTCTATTCCATCCAAAACTTAAGATGGAATCAAGAGCAGTACTGTAATACTTGCAGGGTTTAAATATAAGCATAATTCTACTGAATAAAAATGAACCAAAAACTACAGACATGCATTTTTAAGTTCCCAAAATCATACACCCTTTTTTGAAGGCCTAGAAGGCCCTGAGGCTTCCTCTCTTTAAACTTATTTTCACTTACAATATCAACAGAACATTATCTGTATAATGTATTACAATGATAGTACAAATAACTAATGAATAAGAAGGAATAAAAGGTAAAATACTTGAAGTATTAAAATTTGTGGTAATGTAGAAAATATAACCAGGTGAAATACTCTTATGGAAAAGTGAGTGTGTCAAAGAGCTACAGTTCTGGAATACTTACTGCATGAAGGTCAGAAGGACACTTTGGACTCAGTGGTGGTCGTTTCTCCAGCAGAGGGCAACATCTGTTAGCGTTAGCGATTGATTCGGCCGCCTGTTTGGAGAGATGTTAACAGGAAGGTTGAGCTGCAGATTTGTTGCCTCTCTGAGGATAAAATGGCATTAGTGCAGAAGCTTATAGATATTGTCTTCATATAAAGTTGTGTAACCAGTCTGAACTAAACTGGCCTAATTTTAGCATTAAAGCCAAAACAGGGTAGGCTTTGTTGTCATCCAGTGCCATGAAGCAGAGTTTAAATGTGAAAGCAGTTCACTGTTAATCTCGGTTCTGTCTGGAAAGGCTTGTCCAAAATACTGTGGGGTAGAATGGAAAACTGTTCATAGAATAATTATATGAATGAATGCTCTACGAACAGCTCTGCACATGTAAAGAGGAATTCCACTGGTTCAAACTTTCTACACAGTTCAATTAGTGACACAGTCATTCTGGTCATTTCCATAGAAAACACTAGAGAAATTTATCAACTCGGACTGTCTTTACAGTAGTGGCGACAGGAACCAGAGGATAGTAAATAAAATATACCCATTTTATTTACCGTCCAAAATGACCAGTGCACACAACTTCTGAGTTTTTTAATATGTTTTGTTCATAATGGCAAGCCTTACAATACCTATCATAACCATTTCATTATTTATTCTAATAGCTTTCTGTGTGGGAGCTTTTAGTAGCACCAAACACTTAAGACATCTGGTTCCTTTCCCACAACTCTCTGTGAAAAACTCTGACTCAGTATAAGTCAATAGAACAGAGAATTTCACATCAGATCACTCTGAACGATCTTTACATCCTAGTAAGTTGAATATGCAGACATATTGAAAGATTGGTGGAATTCTCCTTTAAAGTGTCCAGACCTCATACTGATTTTTATTTAGACGGTCATCAAGACTGGCCTTCTGTTCATTTCCTTGATCCGACAGTGAAAGGTTGTGTTGCTGCAAATATTAAGTAAATTAAGATGATTTGCTGAAGTGAGCACAATTTTCATTACAGTAAATTACATAAATACATTCTGCAATAACAGTAAAATAAACTACTGGCTCTGTTTGTATCCTCTTTATGTCTGTATGACTAGAAAAAATGTTTGAATTTGGTTATGACAGGTTATAACTGCTCATATATGAGAAATAGTGCATTACTTCAGCAGAGAGTCTTAAAAGGGAACTCCGCAGATTTTTCTGTTTCTCCATATAGTTCAGTTATTGAGAAGTAAACAAAGTCAGTCATGTGGTTTTATGTGGAAATGGTGCAACCTGCTAGCTTACAATAGTTACAGTAAGAACCAGGGGTCTCCATTACACTGTTATTGGCTGAATTTAACATACTGGAAATAAAACAAAGCATAAAATGTGGCCTGTAAAAATGACACATTTTATGGTTTCTGTTCATTTTAATATAAAATAAATAGAAAATATGCACCAAAAGTTGCAGAACAATGCAATATTTAAGTTTGGGATGTTGCAATGAGTGACTTATTTTGAACAAAATGTACTTTGACGTTTTATTTGATGTATCTTTTAGAAGCATTAAAGTCTTTAGACGTCTGGTTCCTATCACCACCACTGTGAGCAGTTCTGAATGTTTCTTTAAAATGGCACATTTCACACCAAACCAATCTGAATGACTTTGTTTACACATTACTGACTGGATCATCTGCAACTTTTGATAAATCACTGGAATTCCCATTTAATTACCCACGATAAGCTTAACATGAATGGGCTCATTAAAGTTTTGTGACATTTGATAATTAGCTAGTGAATGTTAGGCCTAATCAACATGCTGTATTAAAAGGAAAGTCTTTGTTAGCTGAACTTAAAGGAGACACAAACTGTCCTTAATCTGAAGAGAACAGTACAGAAAAGATCGCTGTTCTTCTCAACGAGAAGTCAGCGCAAAACATGTTTTGGTTCATCCATGTGAAACAGGTCAGCCCATCATATCCAAGAGCCGACCAGCAACTGGTATCACGGCTGGGCTGGGCTGGGCTGGAAAAACAGCGTTGTGACCATTTTACGGCCCCGTCCATTAGAGAGAGAGCCCGAGGGCGACCCAGACACAAGTTAAAGCAGAGAGCGCTGAGCACTAAGACGCAGCCGTCCTCCTCAAAACCTGATTTGTGTGTTTTGGTTCCAGGTGCTCCTCGGCCTGAAAGATCCATCTGGATGACAGAAGCCAGAGCTCACACAGGTGGGGTTATACAGCCCAGTGTTTTTTCTTTCACCCCCAGAAATCCTGCAGGGTTGTCAATATGGATTTATGCGCAACGGAGAGACCACAGTAATTGTAACATAGCAAATGGTTATAACTTCATACAGTTATTCAAGAATGTTTCTTAATGTTTAGGGTCCCTAATAATGATCCCTTGGAGGCCATATTATGTTGTATGCACTAATGAGAAAGAAACAACAATTGAATTTGATCAGGAAAACTTTCTACATGCTCAGGTTAAGACAGTAAATCAGTAAATAACTCTATATAGGAGGAATACAATATATTCAATGATATACAGAGATAAAATAATATGCAATAATATCATAAACAAGCTAAGTTGGCTTGACAAAGCCTTTATTATGAAATCCCAGATGGTTGTTAAGGTGTCGATATGTTATCCCAGGTGGTTGCTAAGGTATTGCTAGACCTTTGCTACGGAATCCCAGATGGTTGTTAAGGTGTTGCTAGGTCATCACTATGTTATCCCAGGTGGTTGCTAAGGTATTACTAGACTAAATGAAATAAAACGTAATTAAACACTACATGCTTAGG